AAAGCAGTCACCCAGCAGACGTTCCTTAAAGACCTACTGGGCAATGTGGGTGCCTCGGTAGGAATCTGCCCCACACTTTGATCTTTTGTGCTGTCCTTGCAGCATGCAGAGGTAATGACTGCACCAAACTGATGAAATATTTTATCAGGATCTGGTGAAATAAATGTCTTTCCGCTAGAAAGACTCTACCGAAATAATTCAGGGAAATGAGCGCCCCTATTGTACTGCTGATCATGTCCTGTAGCTCAGCTGTAGAAGCGATGGCTGTAATATCTCAGCCTTTGCACAACCCAGCCCTGCCGTGGAAAAAGCATCATTTAAATTAATAGGAAATAGGTTCTCTCCCTCTGCTAAAACTTCAAGGGCCTCATTTTGCTGAAGGAAATCGCTACTTGAATTTTGATGCATTTCAGGCTTTACCAAGGATACTCCACCATCACCACTGACTTCCTCAGAGAACCATGTGGGGAAAGGCTCAGAATATTTACACAACCCAGCAGGTATAAAGGTCTTTGGGAGCAGGTTCGCCGGGGCTACTTACCTCTCAAATTCACAACTAACCACACAGCTCCACAGCAAGAAGAGTGTATGTCACTGTCTGGCCATTTCTCTTGGTTATTAAAGTTGCCTGTGGGCAAGGCAGTGTCCAGATTTCAAACTATGGTGACTTGAAGGGAGCCCTCATTCCACCGGTTCCAAAGTCACGGTCCTGCTCAAGGGAACTCTGAGGTAGCACTTTTAGGTCAACGCTAAGGGCACCACTGGCAGCTGAGCCAACGTCTTTCATGTATCAATTTCCCTCTCCTAGTTCATCAAGTCTTGCTGCAAACCAGAGCTCAAGCAATGGTCTGTGGCTTGCGATGATCTCTCCACTGTTTATGTAGAATTAGGTATTCATTGGTTTATGCTCCCAGAGCACTCGACTTCCCTGTGGTTTCACTGAAGTCCTTACTACAGAATACACAATTAATGTCGCCCCACTGGAGACATTCAGCAACATCTGGAGGCATAATGCTTTCGACAATTGGAACTACGGCTAACAGGTAGTTGTAACATGAGGGCCGGCTTGTTGGGGTATCTGTTCCGCCCAGCACCCCACAACCGGCAATTCCCAAGGAAAAATCACACACAGGACTCCATAAGATTATAAAGCTGATTGGCCCATTAGGTCAGGCTACTTATTAGTTCTTATGACACATATTACCCCATTATCCTTATCTACGTCAGCCATATGGCTTGGTACCTTTTTCAGCTGGGCAAATTACATGCAGCCTCTTCGGCGGTCTGCGCAGGAGTGGCAGAGGAAGCTTCCTGCTTCCCAGAATTCTCCTATTCTCATTGCATCACCTCTACTTCCTGTCTGGTTGACCCACCTATACTTCCTGCCTGGCCAATCAGCGTTTTATTAAAATACACAATTGACAGAATACAGACAATTCTCCCGCACCAGGTAGTTAGTAGGCAGGAGCCTCTGATGGTGCCAACAAATAGTTTCCTACAGCTGTCAGCATTTAACTGTTGATTGCTCTTCCTGCAATCACAGGAAACCTGTTTCTGAGCTTCACTGACTTGGCCATTTGTGAATGCTTTGCCCAGAGTCCTTCGCTTCCCAGCTACTTCTGAAATGTGTAAGTTAAGGAGAAACTTAAGTCTTACAGTCTACAAGTAACCCATAGAAAAGCCACCCTGGCTGTGTCGTAACTTGATTGACCTCAATGTCAGTGAAGACACTGTCTCCCTCTCATCCTTGTACACAGTCTAGAAAGTTCATCAAACTGTTTTCAACTGACTGTAGTATGTCTCTGTATCTTGTTCAAATATCAGAGAAAAGTACTATGTAACTTCTGTTCTCCACTTTTATATGCCCCCCTCCACACACACATACACACACACTGTGGATTAACACTGAGGGAGCCATTTCCTCCTACATATCCAGCCTGCTTTTCCACAGCATAGAGCTGGAAGGTGGTGAATGCTTCTGTAGTGACAGGCTCAAAACTTTGTGTTTTCATTCATAGAAACACTTCTAAAACACAACTATATTATGCCTCTCCTCACAGGTCCCTGTGAAAAGGGCAGTGGGAGACTGGAAGAGTTTGTGCCCAGGAAGGAGCAGTACAAACTGTGTCTTCTCAGCTTGGTGGGATGATGTATTTATGAGCTCACAGTTGCTATTGCTGTCTGGACAGGATTAAGCCAGTAAACACTCTCACCTCACCTGAGGAGTTGAAGAGAAATAAAACCCAATAATTTGGGGTTCTATTTATTATATTTAGGGTTTTATTTAGGCAGAGTAGATTCTGGGAGGTCACCCATGCTTTGGTGGATACCCTTTCCCCAGGTGGATACAAGCAGAACCAACTGTATTCAGTGGGCTATTTTTAAAAAAATGAGGATATGAAATTAGGAATGGGTGGAAGGTGGAAAGGGGAGGTGATGGGGGGAGGCATGGGGGGTAACATGACCAATATAGTGCATAAGCTTATGTGATATTCTCAAAGAATAAAACTATATTATTATTTTAAATTATTTAAAATCTATCAAATAACAATGAAAAACCCACAACTATGGAAATTCAGACCTTTATAAAGTCAGAGGTCATGAACATTTGCACTTGAACCTTATTGACAAAGGAGAAAAAATGGCTTCCCTTAGTATAAGTGAGATATATATATATATATATACACACACACACATATATATGTGTGTATATATATATCATGAACATACATACTTTAATATAACCCACTGAAATATTTTTCAAGGGTTATTGTGGGCAATTCCCAGCATGACTGTTACCTCTGCGAGCCCTGCTAATGCCCGTGTTCCTGGGACACTGTCTTCTGTGTGGCTTTCTTCTTAGGACCTGGATCTACTTTCTCCCACTGCCCGTGAGCTCTAAGCTGCTGATAAACATTTCCTTCTGGCTGCTCAGAAAATGAGAGTCACGTCAGAGTCACTGGCTCCCTATTTAAAAAGTGTTGAATTTTGTCATTTCTGTTTCAATATCCAATACCACGGCCATCATGAAGACAGAATCAAAGGCCAGGTATTCAGGCAAAAAGGAAAGATGTGAGGAGAAAAGAGGGGGCAGAGAAGGCTATAAGAAAGGATGTGGCCTAGTGGGACCTACACGTGGGAGGCCAAGATCTCTGCCTTTTATTAGTCTTATGTCAGTTATTATCGTTGGAGCATCCACACTGGGGTAGGACTGGAGCTGGTTAACCTCACATAAGGGCAGTTTCCCATTTGCGAGCTGTGCTGTGGCAGCTCTGATTGTCCCAAAGTGTTGCTCAGAGCAGCTAGTGGCTGGGCTGATGGGCCATGCGTGGCAATTTTGCTCAAGAACAAACAGAGTCTACACTGCTGTTACTTTGTCATTGCTTGTTTTCTAGTTCCATGCACCGAGTTCATTATAGTTTGGTCTTTCAAGTAGAAAAGATGTCCTGGGAGAGAGAGAGAGAGAGAGAGAGAGAGAGAGAGAGAGAGAGAGAGAG